AATTCTCTGTTAATTAGACCATAAGGGGAAATATTCTGCGGTCAAAATTTTTTCAAGTAGTAATGTACGATGTGTGGTTGGACACAAAGAAAGCCACATTATTCGCTAGCAGAATAAAAAAAAAAATTACGAACTCAGTAGAAAAAAAAGAGATACTTAATTTTTTAAAAATAATTTATTTATTTAATTACAATGTATAATTAATTTTCCATTTTATTTATAATATTGTTGAATAATAATTATTTATTTAAATTGAAAATTGGTAACATTATAAAAAAAGATATCTCTTTTGAAATTGGAAAGCAGGGGGGGTGGGGGGGGGGTTGTTATAAATCATTCATGTGAAAAATTTTTCAAGATGAGATCTAGTTTAGAACTTTATCATAGAAACGTGTAATTCGGTGAAAAAGATTTATCCTTAGGTGGTATATAAGGGTAGGACGTATGATCGTCTTTTAAGAGGAGATTCGAGGGTGTGCAAAGATGAGGGCAGAAAGAAAGAATAAAAAGAAAGGGAGAAAGGAAAAAAAAAGCTGCAGGAACATCAAGAGTGGGAAGAGAATAATTTTTGAGAAAATACATTTTTCCCGCAGGATCTCCCATTCGTTCTCGGTGGCTGGTTGCTACGACACACTCTCTTTCTTTCTCTCTTTCTCTCTTTCTCTCTCTTTCTATGTGAAAAAGGATAAAGAGGCTTCGGATTCCCAGCAATTTTTTATCTAAATGCTTTTCGTCCCCGTGGTAACCTGGGATAAAAACCGAAAATAGTTTGCATCCGGAGAGTGTCATTTTTTCCGGTACATTAGTGAGAATAAAGACGAAAGAATATGGCCATTTTGAAAGAAAAATTGAAGAGTTTTTTTTTTTGTTGATAAACAATTTTTTTATTTCGTAATTTTTATAAATAAAAAAAGTTGAGAATTTTATGATAAAAAATCTGAGGGCATTTTCAATAAATTTAGTGGTGCAATGCCAAAAATGCTTTTGGCTTCTTCATATAGAGTATGAGATTCGATAAATGTAGATACTATCGAAAATGGTTTTACGACTCAAGTAAGATGAGAATATTGGGTGAGAGAAAAGAGAGTGAAAAAGAATAAATGGAGAAAAATGACATGATTGCAAAGTATATATATATATATATATATATATATAAATTTTTTTCGAAGATATATAATTTTTTTAATAATCGGAATTTTTTTTTTAATTTTTTAAATTATAGTTTCTCTCTTTGAAAAAATAAAATTATTGAGAAATTTTTGTTCGTTTCACGTTTCTTTCAAAGAAACAAAGAAAGTGTTCATCTTTCTCTTCACGCGCTCAATGCCAAGATGGACTGTGTGCTATCTTTCCATTTCGTGCTGAACAATGACTTGAAAAAATAATAAAAATCCCATCCATTCAACAAACGTTTAGCGAATGCCCGGAGTTTGGTACTTAGTAGCCATGGCAACGGTACTATTTTTCATTTTTTTTTTTTTTTTTATTGATATACGTCGATGTAGTAAATTTATTTCTCTTTCTTATTTTTATATCCACGTCTCTCTTTTCTATAATAAAATTTTTTACTTTCTTTAAATTCATCTTATTTGAAATATATTATATTTTCCTGACTATAGAAAGCAAATATTATTTTGGTTTAAAAATTTTTTTTTTTTTTTTTAAACTTCTGTATTTGTAAAAAAATTTTAAATTTTTGTAAAATTGTAATTGTTTGAAAAAAAATCACAACATATGTGATACTTGGAAGAGATTATATGTCAATCTACTTGAAAGCTGAGGACATAAATCCGGGATATATGTTCGAGAGGATTCTTGGACTTGAGAATTCACATTGGGCATGTAGTTGGCTCAGTCAGAATGAAAAAGAAAAGGACCTCTGTCGTTGATATAGCGTCTCAAGTTGATGGTCTCTCCAACACTTCCAATGATATTATCTTTTATTTATTACTTTATACGATGCCATTTTTTTTTCCCAGTGCCAATATATCAATTTTTTTTTCCTGTTATTTCACATATCGAAAACAAGATTTAAAATTTTATTTTTTTACTTTATTCGTTTTACAATATAAAATGATATATAAATTGATTTCATAATTATAAAAATAAAAAAATTTTTTTTCCACGTTCTTTCTATATGTCATCTTCGGTGAAATATCGTGACAGTTTGAAAACCTTTCTTTTTTCGTTTGGCACAGATGAGTTGACGCGTTTCCATTTACATTTTCCAGTCTTTCTTATACATATCTCTCTCTTTTTTCTCTCTCTCTCTCTCTCTCTCTCTCCTTTTTTCTTGAAAGAAACTTGAAGCGAAAGTCGTGCGTTTGTGCACTTTGGTAGGATAAAAAGGCACTTTTCTTAGGTTCGACAGAGGTCGATGGAAATTTGATACACACAATTTTGAAAAAAATATAAAAAAAATAAATAAAAATAAAGTAAAAATAAAAATAAACAAAATAGAATAAAAAGAAATTTAAAAAAACAGTAAACTAATTGTCGAAAAAGGAGTTGGATTTTTAATAAAATATTTCGTTTATTTTTTTAATTATTTCTTTTCAATAAAAATAATTTTTATATAAGTTAATTAAATTTTTTCTTTAAAAAAAAGAATTATTTCATTCAAATTATTCATTCCTTTGATACACTGAAAAAAAAATTTATTTGATTCAAATACCGGTGTATTTGGTTATTATCAAATAAATATTTACTTGAATCAAATATTTCTTATTTGAATCAAATAAATGGTATATTTACTTCAAATACTGAAATATTTGATTCAAATACTATTTATTTGATTCAAATATAAAATATTTGATTCAAGTAAATATTTATTTGATAATAACCAAATACACCGATATTTGAATGAAATAAATATTTTTTTTCAGTGTATAAATAAAAATTATTCGATTAAATAAAAATTCTTCGATGGAAATAAAAATTATTTGCTTTAAATTAAAAATTCTTTGGTACAAATAAATATTTATTTGATACAGATAAAAATTAATTGCTTCAAATAAAAATTCTTCGATACAAATAAATATTGATTTGATGCAAAAAAAAAAAAAATTAGTTAATTAAAATGAAAAGTATTTTCTTAAAATAAAAATTTCTCGATGCAAAAAAAAAATTTATTTGACGCTGGTAAAAATTATTTGATTAAATTGAAAATTATTTGATGGAGATAAAAATTATTTGCTTTGAATAAAATTTTTTTTTTTGATACAAGTAAAAATTCCAATAAAAAATAAATGAATAAATAAATAAAAAATAAAATAACAGTAAACAGATGAACTAAAAAACAATTAGATTTTTAATAAAATATTTCGTTTATTTTTTTAATTATTTAAAGACGTGTCAGAGGCAGTAAAAAATTTAAAGTATTATTTCCTCTTATCAGTGTCAACGAGTAAAAAAAAGGTAAATGTGCATTAATGTATATTTCGTTGACTGACATCGCAGCCTCTCTCTCTCTCTCTCTCTCTCTCTCTCTCTCTCTCTGAACTTATCTATCATTCATGACATGTCAGAATGGGATTAAGGATAAGTAACCGTCATAGCATTCATATTCATTTGAAATGAAAGTGTTAGTAAAAGCATATAAAAACGTTAGAGAGTAGCTTAAATTATTCTGACACTAAATCCTTGTTTATTTTGTGACTCTTGTGTATAATGTATATAGAAAATATCTACAATCTATATTTACTTTATTATTTGAAAATAATTTTGAACTTGTAGAAACGTAGAAAATTTATTAGTTTATATAGATATATATAGATATATATATATATATATTTATTATATTCACTTGTATTTAATAAATAGTTTCTATGTCATATCTCCAGTATTTGTGGGCACTGGACAAGAGAGCCTTCAGCTATATATATATAGTGATATTCTCTATATACGTGTATACATATCCCATTTTGTACCTACATGTATATTTACTCTGTTGCTATGTAAAGACGGTAATACATTTTGGATGTTTATTAAGTTTCGGTGTACTTGCATTACTCATTCTCTGGAATTTCGTATTATATATTAAATTTGTACCTGAATTATAGCAAAATAAAATGACATTTCATAATTTTAAATCATATTTTCAATTTTTGTTTAAAAATTTTCTTATTTTATTATCGGATTTAATTTTCTTATTTTATTATCCAATTTTCATTTTCTTATTTAATTTTTGTAATTTTATTTTCTTTTTTATTTTAATTTTTAATTTTATTGTTTTCTGTGGGAGAAATTTTCCCAAGGCCGAATTAGGGTATGAAACTCCATGCCTGATGTGGCCCTAATTAGGAAATCCATATTTTTTAGTCGCCCTGATTTGGCCCTGATCAGCGTTTCATTCCCTACTAGGGCTCTGATGGGGAAATTTCTACAAGAATTATTTTACTTTTTTAATTTTATGTTCTCCCACTTGGAAAGATTCCCCGGAAAGTGCCCCCTAGAGGTTCTATCAGAATTCCGCCGAAATTTCCAATGTAATTCCGTTGGAATTCCATCGGAGTTCTAAAGAATTTCCAATGAGATTCCGACGGAAATAGGACTCTAAAAATTTTGAAAAAAAAATTAATCGGAATCCCATCAGAATTCCGTCGGAATTCCATCGGAAATTCTTTGGAACTCCGATGGAATACCGAAGGAATTACGTTGGAAATTCCGGCGGAATTCTGATAGAACTTTTCCGGGGGAATCTTTCCAAGTGGGCTATTTGATTTTTTTTATTTGATTTTTAATGAGTATTGAAATTATATTTTAGTTTTGAAATTTATTCTTGAAAATCAATTTATTCTGAAATATAAATTTGAAAGTATAAAAGCCGAAAGCAAATATTCTTATCGACTTTATAGACTATGTAAATAACGTATATAACATTCAAATTCATTATTATACTTAGAAATAGTGTATATACATATATATATTTCGTATCTTTAAATAACTGTATTTGAAATCGATATGGAATCTATTTATTTCACGCTTTCCTTTTGTTTCAGGTAAGGATCTAAATTTCGCCAGTAATAACGCGGGTGAGTGTTACTTCTCTAACAATTACTTACCTTATTATTATTATTATTATTTTTATTTTTTTTTTGAAAATGGAGATAACAGAATTGTTTATAATGGAAAATAATTTCAAATTTATTTTCATATTGCAATAAATTTATGTATTTGTTATACGATTTGAATTTTCTCCCCGCGGTAACAATCTAAAGTGGTGAATCTATTTCTTTTAAGTAAAGATATAAACAATTTTTCATTTTTAATTCTATTTTCTCCATGATATTTGTATTGATTTTTTACAATTTTTTTTTCACGAAAAGAAAAATGTTTGTAAATATTTTTTTTTCGTGAAAAAAAAAAAATTGTTCCCTATTAAATGTGTTTCTTGTGAATAAAAATTAACATTCTATTTAGTGCTACTTTATCTGCATGAGCTTTTAGTTTGCACTCTATTTTATGTTTAAAAAAAAAAAAAGATTTTCCACGAAACCAATATATAGATTTTTATATTATTTCTATAATTAAAAAGAAAGAAGATTTAAAAGAAATTTAGTATTTTCAATATCGAATTTAATTTAAATTCAAAAGTCAATATTTTAATAAATAAGTACCTATAATGTAGATTTTATAGTCCGAAGTATTATCGAATTTCAAAAAAAAAAAATCAAAAAAGGATTAATTTTTTCATAATTTTTATAATTAATTTTTTTTTTTTTTTAATTTTCATAAAATCTTTTATGATATTAAAAATAAACTGTTGTTAAAAAAAATTCTTGCGAATGCATGAAAAGAGAAATTTGATGGCATTATGAAAATGGTAAAAATGTCGACCCACCGTTGACTTTATGAAAAGCAGTGACATTGCAACTCACTTTTTTTTTTGTTTAAAAGCAATGCATTTAAATTATTTATAATGGAATTGTTCTTTAATTTAAAATGTAAAACCCCACAGCGAAATTAGAAATGGCATTATATTTTGATGCAACTCGACTCGCTGCTCAGATTTGAATTAATTGCCAATTTAGAGTCGATGTTGTGCAGTTTTGAATTTCTTTACGAATAATAGCTTTAAAAAAAAAAAAAAAACAAAACAAAAAAAAAACAAAAAAAAAAAAAACAAATGCAGACTGAACTTTTTTTTGATATTTTAAAAAAAATACTATGCTTTTTCGTGAGAAAATCAATGACCAAAAAAAAGGTATATTATTATTATTTTTTTAACTTGAATGATATTAGAGAGATCAGATCTCTGGTCAATTCGACTGATTTCAGTAGATAATCCAAAGTAGTAGTTTGCCGTAAGTGATAGGTTACCATTTAGGTCAGACGGGTCGATCCGCTTAGAATGTAAAAGAAAAACTTAATTAATTAAAAACAATATAGAAATAATACTGAATTAATTAAAAACAGTATTTAACAATATAAATTTTAAAAACAAAAAAATAGAATTTCCCTAAATGTTTTTTTAAAAAAAAAATAATTAAATTAAAGTTTTAAGAAAACAAGCTGTCTATTGTTATTAAAGAAAATGTCTTTTATTTCCAGTGATGTTGAACTTGAATCGTAGTAATTTTCTTGAGTTAAATTAAATTTGTTCTTCCTTCATTGTCAATAAGTTTAATCTCAATGACAATGAAGCACCGATTCGCAGTTGGGAGTTTCTAATTTCTCTCTCTCTCTCTCTCTCTCTCTCTCTGTTTATCTATCTATCTATCTTTTAGAATAATGAAGATTTGTAGAATTAAACTTACCAGCAATTCATTCAATTTTCTCGCTTTTAAAAATGAAACCATTATCTTCATTCGACAAATATTTAATTTGATTGCGAAACTTTTAATTTGATAAAAAGGAAAATATAAATTAAAATAAATAATTAAATTAATAATTAATAATAATAACAATAATAATAATAATAGAAGTTATAATATAATGAGTTAAAAATGCCAATAAAAGTTTCGAATTTCCCCCACGTGTGGTTATAAAAAAAATATATTAATATTGGAAGTCATAAAATGTTTCCTAAAAGCCAGAAGTAGATATCCGGCATCAAATACGAGAATACAGACGTGATCCATTTGTCAGGTTAGTCAAATCGCAATTCCGTGACTTCTTTTTTTTCCCCTCTATAAATCATTTAAAGAATTCTCAATTTTATATATTTTAAACACAGATTGCGCTTCTATTTCCTTCAATTTTTTTTTCTTACTTTTAGAATTAAAAAAATTTTTTTTTTTTATAAATTACATTTTGAAAATGTAAAAAAAAATTTATATTTAGTTATCTGATAGAATGGAATAAATATATATATTTATAGTGAAGATAGGATAGTAAAACTAGTTAATTTCCTATATAGTTATATGAAAAAAGGATTCATCAAGATTTATGTTGAAGGGTAGTACTATCCTAATAAATATATATGTAGATGGTACACACACACAAGCTATACTTTGACAAGGGAAAATCGATAGTTTATTATTTCCGCTTAAGATTCTCAATGCATATGTATAGATTTATGATTCCTCTTTTCAGTGCGTTTAATTTATATTCATCTATATCAAAGCTATGATTCTACTTTCTTTTTGCCTCTTTGCTTAATTAATTATTTCATTTTCTAGAAAAATATTTAAAAATATTAATAACTATTTTTTTTTTGATTTTGATTTTTTCAACCAAATGGTCAATTTTTTTTTTATATCTTCTTGTGTAACCTTTCGCGAGACGCCCGGTTGCTTTGCAACCTTTATTCTAATATAAACCATGTTCAAGAGGTCATGTATACATATATATATATATATATATATATATATATATATATATATATATATATATATATATATATATATATATATATATAATGGACGAACTTTCCATTGTCGACCGTTTCTCGGCTATACGTAATAAGAGAACAAGCTATTGTTAAATGATTGATGACATCAGCGTGTAGGCAAAAGAAAAAACTTAAGTCTACAATTACGAACCGCGAGATATAAATCGCTAACGAGTTTCTAAATTATATTATTGTAATAATTTGCCATATATATGACAAATTCTATCTCTAATGTATTAATTTTACTATTAATTACAAATATTCTATAAATTACAAATCTCATTAAAAACATTACTACAAATTACAAATATTACTATAATTTACAAAAATATTTATATTCTTATTTGTAGCCCATATTGACAAAAAATTTATCGCATCTAATTAGAACCAATTAATTTTCATTTAATAATTCCAAATATGTGCCTATATTAAAAAAAAAAAAAAAACTTTAATTTTAACTTCACTATTCATACTGTCAATAGCAGCCGTTGAGTACGACTCTAATGAAAAATCCAAATGTACATCGTAAACCGCGTCGGAAAGCACGTCGCAAAAACATTTACTGGACAATAAATAGAGCACACACACACACACGCAGAAATTTTTGTTCTCCTTAATGCAAGTTTAGTTAAAATAATAATTTTTCTTTTTTTCTTTTTTTTTTTTTTTTTTTAAGTTTCCTGATAGGCAAATTTTATAAAGTTTTGAAAATTTTTTTTTCTTCTTCTAAGTATTTTGTTAAGTGCGTTACTGAATCTTTAAGAATGAAAATTTATTATAACTAAAGAGAAACGGGTATAGGTGGTATAGGAAAATTTTTCCTCTACCAAGTATATTAATTTTGAAGTTTGCCCATCAACATTTCTCTGAACTTACTAGAAGAAGGACATTTCTTATATATTTGCGAGTAACTTTATCGAAAAACTTAACATACAAAAGTTTGTTGAAAAATGTCTTGAACAATTTAGAAAGCTTGCGATATTTTCATTTTTAAAATGTTATTCTAGAAAATATATTTATAGTGTACATTATAATTTATTATTATTAATTATTTATTACTTTATTAAATTAATATAAACTATACCTATAGTAAATCAGTTTTTTATACATTAAATAAAGAAAATAGTTAAGATTTTTTGAAAATTTTTAATTTTAATATTTTATCTATTAAACAAGTCAATTTTAATCGAACATAATCGAGGAAGTATATTTAACAGTAGAACAAGTAAATATTGTATCAGATATACTAATTTTTTTTAGTTTTATCAGAAATTAAAAGCAATATTTAATTTTACTTATTTCTAAACTTTCGTAGTTTTCTCAGTAGTACAAGTATATATTTAGTCAGACAGAATATAGTCAAATTGGAAAATCAGTAGTAAAAGTAAACGTGAAATAAGAATTTTTAAATTTTTGTTTTTTCAGTAGTAAAAGTAAATATTGAATCAGACATCCAATTTTTTGTAGTTTTGTCAGTAGTAAAAGCAATATTTAGTTCTACTTATTTCTATACTTTCGTAATTTTCTCAGTAGTACAAGTATATATTTAGTCAGACATAATATAGCTAAATTGGAAAATCAGTAGTAAAAGTAAACGTTAAGTAGGAATTTTTAAATTTTTGTTTTTTCAGTAGTACAAGTAGTTATTTAATCAGACATCCTAATTTTTTTTAGTTTTATCAGTAGTAAAAGTCGATTTCAGTCAGACATTGCAGGTAAATTTAAAAAAAATTAGTAGTAAAAATAAAAAATTTAGTCAGGCTTTCTATATTTTTCAATATTATCAGTAGTATAAATCGGGTTTAGTCAGACATAATAATATAATTTAAAAAACCATTAGTAAAAATAAACGTTCAGTCAAACTTTTTGAATTTTTGTAGTTTTTCTCAGTAGTACAAGTAAATATTGTATCAGACATCTATTTTTGTAGTTCAATCAGTAGCACAAGTTAGTTTTAGTCAGTCGTAGTGAATATTTATTTATAATTTTAAAAAAACAATAGTACAAATAAATATATTTAGTTAAACTTCTTAAATTTTTATAATTTTCTCAGTAGTACAAATTGCTTTAGTCAGACATAGTGATATATGTATTAATACTAAAACAATAAATATTCTCATAATAAAATTTCCCTCTTACATTATCTATTATATAAAAATGAAAATATGAAATTTAGTTAAATATTCCTCTACATCTATT